TTTTAAAATTTCTTTTTCATACTAGTTAGAATTAAAAAAATTACTGGTCTTGAAAGAATTTGTAATTCGTAAGATATCTAGCACTATAAAAATCTTTAAAAAAAATATTCAACGATTCTAAGGATATAAAATTCCATTATTCAATAGAAATTCGCGAGGTTAAGTTTTTGAGTCATTGGGAATGACTGAGTTCGTGAATTAAACTTCTATGCTGTTAATCTAGTGACAATAATGTTCTGGTTGAAAATGTAACGCAGAATAAAATCCGGTGCCGCAAGCCAGGTAGCTACATTAAGTGCTAAAAGTTTAGTAGTGAATACCTATTGTATACCTACTATAGAATACTTAGCTGGTATTTTGACCCGGGCACGTCGTAAATAACGTGGGCGGATGATAAAGGAGGACAAGTCGGAGTGCTAGTAAAAACAATTGCCACCATAACGCTCAGACTACTCCGATGCAAAAACTTGTTTTCTCCAGACACAGACCAGACGTTTAATTTGTCGGTATGTGACGGCTGGGAGAGAAAAGGAGGTTGCCGCGAAATGTAACTGTCGTCACAACTCTACGGGTAAGAGTGTAACGGTAGTGACGATGTGGCAGTATAGTTTCCACCGCTGCCGATGAAATAGTGACAACGACTGCTTGTGAATTATGGCCATGACAACGCAGAAACGGCTATTTGCATACCGACCGCAGCTCACGTTTCGTTTGTGTACATATTTTTTGTCTATTATTTCTTTGGGTATTGCCTACAACGTTCGTTTAAACTTATTTGGTAATAAATTCGTTTGAGGGTTCGCTCTATCTTCTTTTTATCAGATTAATTCCTTGACTTTCTGTGCCTCATTGTGATCGCGCGCCGAAGTATTTACCGATCCTTTTAATAAAACATACGAATTCAGAAATAAAACATCATCACAAATAATTAATGCGTTCGAGTAAAGCAAGTGAGAAGGGATTAAAAAACAAAAGGGTCTTTTTTTTTTTTTTATCGGTTTTTCGTACTTTGACTTGACACATAAGTCGTCCCTCTGTTTTCGCAATAAAAATAAAACCGCCGTCGACATAAGAAGATTATTGCAGACCACATAGAACACGTCCAGTCCAGGCAAGGCACGTAAAATATTGTACGTGGACGGTTTTATTCCATTACATCACAAAAGACCTGGGGGCAAGTCGCCTACGGGTCGGATTAATCAACTTTTTCACTCATTCTCACCCGCGGCACACAAACTGAAATCATTGCTGTCGGATAAAGTTTTGGTCCGACACGTCCACAACGGTGTACGAAGACGATTCCGTTCATTTTCCGCTTTAATATCGTGTTATGAGTCATTACCGCCGGACTTGTGTGTGACAGCCGTGCAGCAAAAACTATAGTAATACTCACTACGGATTCTCGGTACGCGCGACCGGTAGAAACGAAAATGAAATAAAACTACACCGAGATTGTCGTTACGTGAGCTATGAGCTAGTTGTAATAACTTTCGGATGTGTTCCCAAAAGAAAACAAGTTAACGAACCGAACGACGGAAAACTTTTGCTACGAAATAGACAAGCAAAAAGAAACACCTATTGTCGCGTGAAGAAACGGATTCGTTGTAAAACGAGTAATAAAACGCCTATTCAATCCAGCCGCGAGTCTACTCGTCAAACAACATTTTTATGCTCTTTTCATTTCATGTTAATTTTATTTTCTGTGCGATTTTCAACAACCGTCACAATCAAGATTTCCCTGAATGTTTTATCAAATGTGGTCTTTTAAAAGTCATTGTACCACGTAGTATCGATATCTCGAGATCACATGAGATAAACACTGAATTCTAAGAAACGCAATAAAAATTACAAAGACTAGATAGTGCAACAAAAGTACAATAATCAAAACCAAAGTTATTGTATACGGAAAGTTCTGAAATGTATGCTGTTAACGTGATGGTGTACAAGACATAGTTGATTAAACTTTTGTTTGTCATGTACGACACGGGTAACTGTTGATCGACATAAGAGACCTTAATCACTTGCATGTCTATTCAAATGTAATAATAGGTTAGTAATTCAGTTTAAATTGTTAAACTAAAAGTTAACGTACGTTTTCAGAATTGTTTTTGACCCATAATGACACGTAATCGTTACAATAACGTTGAATTTTAACCTGAAAATACTTTATAAACATAGTACTCGATTAGAAGGTTTTTGGATTGAAATATACAACCCAATAATCTCATATGAATCATGTTCACGATAGTTTTTTTTTTTATTATTATTATTTCAAAATATCGATAAAGTATTTTTTCATAGTAAACAAAATTAAACATTAGTTAATGCGTATAACATTTAATACTATTTTTTAAGCTGCCATAATGTATACAATATTTTGTTCCATAAAGGGAGTAACATATAGGTTATTATACCTCTTAACCATATGGTTTACGACAAGTTAAAACAGTGGATTAAGTGAGAGATCGACCGCAAGATAATTTTACCGGAGCGAACAATGGCTGCTGGTACCGAGTATGGTCTATGACGAGTTATCTCGGGTCCAAGGGGGTAATTTGGCTGCAAATAACGAGTTTCTTTCGTTGACCTACACGTACCCTCTGATGCCAAGACTGGAGGGAGTAGAGGTTGTGGGTCACGAAGACCGGCAATGGATAGCCTCCGGTGGGGTTGATCGCGTATACCTTTTTTCCCTACCGTTCTTTCTGGAAATAAATGGCCACCACAAAACAGCTTTAACAGCTTCAAAACGCAATAAAGCGGACAGGGGACCAAATCCTTCTACCCACTCTGTCGTCTTTTGTTCTCAAAGTGAGTCCACTCTCTTTTGATTTATTAAAAGAAATTACCCATTATTAATATTACTCTTATAGCTATAAAATTATATGATAATATGTTCTCAGTTTACTTAAATGTTATCATCATGAACTTTAATAATACTTTGGTAAATAACAATATTGAACATGATGGTACTTTGTGTATGGAGTTAACATTTCAAATTATGTTTTATTGCATACTCTTTGACATTTAATGCTAATATGATTAAATTAAATAAGATAATAACATTGATAATTTCAACTTAATTAAAATGTATTGTTTAACAATGTAAGATGCATTCAATATTTGCTACACACAGCATACTCGATTAGAAAGAGCAATACTGGGCAAGAAAACTTTGAGACAAATGGGGTGAACACGAACAGAATACCAGAAGGGCAATCGGTAATAACGCCCAACACTTGTAGTATCGGTTTAGCACTTTGTTATCTTGCCAAGTGTTTTGAATACAATTCAAATTAAATACAACAAGGCAAATACATTTTATTCCAAAACCGCCAGCGTTTAAATGTTAAGGCGACTGTTTGATACGATTTATTAGTTATCATCCAAATTCAATATAACCAATTTTGGCGTTGTGACCAAAATCACGTGAATAATTTTCCTCCTGTACCTATTATAATCATTATGATGCATAAAACAAGATTAAATTATTTAAACAATCTCATAAATATTCATTAAACAAACCCAGAATAAAATGCACACATGCATTATATTATTCATATTATTTAGTCGCTAGGAAAAAGTCGAGCTAGGAAAGTAACATTAGAATTTTATTGTACTTCGCATTACGGTACAAATAATAAACCAAAAGCACTAGAAAATGAATCTGACTAAAAGTATAAGCACATTAAACGAAACAACGTGAGATATGGAATAATGGGAATTCCTATTTTTAACTTGAAAATATGATAAAATGTTCATTTCTTACAACATTTTAATATGTAGCGAGATCTGAGTGCACATACATCAATCGAGTGGAAACTATAAAGAAATAAAAATAAATGATTTAACAATTATTTTAGATTTTTTTAAACCTAATACTTTTTTGCAGTAATATCTGAGAAAATCAGTGCCTTACCAAATTTGGATCACTCTGTATATTTGAATAAAATAATATAAATTCGAAATAATTATTAAACTTTTAAACTATTTTTATATAAATGATGTACATTTCCTTTAAAAAAATCTTATTTGTGTAATAAATTATCAAACAACGATTAAAAAAACCATTCTAAAAATTAATCAATCCTCTTATAATCTTTATTATATAAAATATTCCCAAATAAGCAAAATAAAAAATTACTCTTTATTTAAACGGTCAAAATTTGTTTAAACTTCGAACCCCTGTTGTCCTGCAAATATACAAAAAAATATCCAAATGAATAAAATTTCGACCTATAATGATCATTGTTGCCTGTCATATCAGAACAAGATAATTTTATAACTTAAGTAACTTAAAAAATCAATTAAAATAATACTTAATCACCTATACTAGAGCTTATGATTTTTAGTGTATTAAAAAAACATAATTCAGGCACCTGGAAGTGTATTAAATGATATATTGGTAGGTAAATTTACCAAACATTCAGTCAAAATTGTTTAATGTTTAAAAAAAATATTTAACAAGACTCCGAAACCTCAGAAAAAAATATAATTTATACTGAGCGTTTTATGATTTAATAGATACATTAAATTTACCTAATCAAATATAATCTAAAAAAATTTAATTCTTAGATGCAAATTTTTTTTTATTATCATTTATATTAAAATCAAAATGTATTTCAAAAAAATTTTACTTTAAGAATTAAGTTTAAGTTCTAATTATAATTATATTTCTAGGTAGAAAATATAAACTAAATAGTTCTTTAAAATTTTTAAATATTCGTTTTAACAAATCTTCCAAAAAAACATTAAATTTCATTATGTATATAGTATTTAAACATATAAATCTTCGTAAAACATCTCGCTCCAATCGAGTATTATTTTATTACAATGTAATTAACAAATTAATATACCAAATATACCGAATAAAATATAACAGTCACCCATACTATAACGAAACTTTTCATCGTGTCCTTTTAAGTCCTCTACTCAATATTATTATGTGTAAACATAATTCAATAGCACACGATTCAATATAAATATATATAATTTTTCAGTGTTGATATTCGAGGAAAACATACAGATCCCAACAAGTCTCACTGGAAAGATGAAACACTCGAAGGACGGTCACACTTCAGAACATTATCTGAACCGGCTACATTATTTATTGATAATATATCAGAATCAGACGCTGGCATCTACAGGTGTCGAGTAGACTTTCGAAAATCTCCCACTCGAAATTCAAGACTGAATCTTACAGTTATTGGTAAGCACATTATATAAAATGAAATAAATATTTATTTTCTATGATACACTTAAAACGCAATACGTTATATTAAAAATTTGTATAGTATATACTTATAATTGCTTGAATAGAAATGCTGGAGTAAAACATCAACACTACTTTGTGACTTTTGCCATTTTCTCTATGATTGCCCCTTTCTATTATTGATTTTCTCGAGAAAATCGGTTTTTCAGCTTAAGTTCAATCATTTTATTTAAATTTAATTCTTAAGCTTAATATCATATGTCGTTTACATAGCGCAATAAAAAACATGTTTTTTTAACTTATTTAAATCATAAGTAAACAATTTTAAGTGTCCCGCAAGACCAATGTAAATTTTGAAATATTTCGTGATTAAAACAACTCTAGTAAGAAACCTGTTGTCTCTTGATACGCAAGTGTCGCGGTACAATTCCATTCTGTCTGGTTGTGTATATTTTTCTGTAACCTGTAATATATAATAACTCGGATAAAAAAAATATAAAGGCTAGTAATAGTGATTTCTACTTATTAAATAATAAATAGGTATTGGTGAGTAATCGCCATTGTTTCGCCGCCAACTGATATCATTCATTACGACGCACCAGACCTTCTGTGATCGAGTTACTATTAAAGAAAATAAATTATCTCTGACGGGGTGTGAGTAAGAAGGTTCGCCAAGAACAGACCTGAACTAAACTTTGGAATAGTCAGGATCTGCTAAAACACTTGCGTAAGTGAATAAAATAAATCTAATTGTAAATTTCCCAGTGTCTATTACTTGAAGCAAGCTCAGCAATAATTATCTCATAAATCTTTAAATAACTTACCTAAGGTTTCGTCTATGACTCAGAATTTTACTATATGAAGGTTATTGAAGTTGAATAAAATTGTACACAGAATAAATTTTCACCTTCACTTTCAAGTCTTGATAATAGAGCCGAATAAAAAAAGAGGATGTTTATTAAAGTTGGACGCCGACGGACTATTAGCTACGATTATTGTAGTTGTTTATTTGGAAACATATTTAAATTATATTATTTTTATGGGAAATTTAGATTATATAAAAAAATGTCATAGTACAATTACACAGTTATGCATAATATAAAGATTAGGTAGCCACGCGCCCAAATAACATATCTACATGTTTTAAAGTACGCTTTTGTGACTCAATTATAAAAGTTACATTATTACATTATATATTAAGGTATTGGGTTTTTAAAATAATATAAGTCTACAATATTGGTTACAAATTATTCGGAACAATATAAATATAAGGGTTATGGATATTACAACAATTGCAATCATTAAATTATTTGTTTAAATGTACAAATTAAAGTCAAAAAAAGTATATCACAATAATTAAAGTCTTTTACTTTTTTTTTTTTGTGGTTTTCGTGGTAGTTTCACGTCATTACTACGTTGATATTTAAATCTTGAATTTTATTTAATTTCGTGGTTTTTTAGAAGGTATTTTTATCGATTACACTAAATAAATCAATAATTCATACGATAGATGTGTTTAACATTATTATGATAATATCATAAATTATTTATACCTACAAATTGATCTTCAAAAAATTTCAATAATATAATATATTATCATAGCACAATATTATTAAAAATATTTAGATTGCGCTTGTCTTAAAAGTATTTTATATATCGATATTTTATATAAATCTAATAAAAATTATTCATGAAATTGAATAACTTCAGTAAAATAAATTATATTTTACCCTAAGCAACAATATCATCCCATTAACAGATCGGTAGCTATTTTGCCTATACAATACGCCGTTCAAATATCAATGTAAACAACATTATTTGCTAGGAACACTTTTTTATTATTATTTTTTTAATTTAGTACGAGATTGAACGACATAACTCTAACAACAAATATTGAGCGTAACAAAAAATTGCCAAAAAACTTAAATTATTTTTATAAATAAACAATGACTATAGTATAATCAATAGTATTATGAAGAGGTTGTATTTTTTTGTGTTGTGCAATGTCAAGCATTTGTTTTTATTAAATAAGGCTGGTTTATAACTAAATTACCAATAAAAAATATTTGAAAGAAATTCTTATTCCGTAATAAATATAAAAAAATTTACTCGCGAAAAATACCAAGTTATTGATTGTATATATTTTACCAAACACCAATATACAAAAAAGAAGATTGTAATGTTTACATCAAGAAGTTTTGTTTTCAACAACGAAATCGCATAATAAATATAAACGTCAATAATTTAAACTAATGAATACTCATCAAACAATATTCTCATATTTTCATTGAAAAATTAAATATCTTATATCACATTTGTTTGATAATATTTTAACATGTTAATATTATTTTCTTTTTGCTCTTATAATCTGTAATTTTTTTCTTCTGATATATTCTTATTAGATTTATTATTAAAAACCAAAATAAAGAAAACGTAATAATATAGAGTAATGTAACTCGGAGAATTGTTTCAAATACAAAAATCCACGAAATCCAATAAATTTTGTGTATTTCAGGGCCTACCATTACCTCACCTGCCACTATCTAAGTATTATAGCAGTTCATAAAATATTGGTATTTTTTGTACATGTATCTATTATTTTCTTATACGTCGTGAAAACGCAGGAAACCGTTAGCGATGGATAAATTTTTATTTCCCCGACAATGTCAAACTACCGCACACGATCGCGCACTTTTATTAGAATGTCATTTCTGTTTGAATAACAAAAGATTTTTTATTTAAATAAGGCAGGTTATGCTAAGTGTATAAAAATAATATAACAAATGTGATCTTGTAAACAATCTATTGGATGTTTATGACTACAGAAAAAAAGACCACCGTAATATATTATTATAATGTACTTTTATCTTTTATTTTTATCGTAAAAATAAAATAAATTACAAAACTGATAGATAAGAGTAATCTGTTACAACCGTATGCGGATAGATAAATAAACGGCGGTTAAGGGTGCACATGCGTTAAACAATAAATAACTACCAAAAGCTCTCTCTAAGTAAGCATTATTTGTCTTTCGGCAAAAGGAACAGGAAATATATCAAGTGTGTTTTTTAGATATTCGAATAGTTCGAACATTTGACGATTAAGTCGCGTTGAAACGCCGTTTCTCTGGTTAACGAGCGTCTCACCGTTTGGTTCAACGCCACTTAGAGTTCTCAGTGGTTGGATGTGACAGCTTTTCCACGTCCTTCCACCCCATCGCATAGTTGACAACCTCCGAGCAATAATATTATGATAACAATACGGATTCGATTTAACGTCGTCGCGGTGCTTAGAAAATATTAAGCTTCGTTTAAAATTTCTAACGCGTTTGTCGAGCGCTGTTGAAAAATGAATTACAAAGAGACGTTTGATAAAAATTTAAAACAGCGCTTGATTTATCGACGATTTTAAAACAAAACACATAGAACACTACACAAGAACGTTTTAGATCGTTTAGGTAAATATACAGCGGCATTATCATATATTTTATAAGATAAATTAACAAAATTCTATACTGATAAAGTTGTTGCATAGAAATTAATAATGTGCAAACAATTATTGTTTACATAAAATACTAATATTTCCGTCTTTGAAACTAGTGTTTGCTGAAGTATTCAGTCGAGTCAGTTTAGTAGGCGTTTGTATTAAACTGGATGGGTTTAGATACATACAGTGTATTATTAAATAAAATTATTTAATTCTAGATCCCCCTAAAACATAAAACAATAAGTATAGCAATAACAGATTATTTTATGTGTAAAAATTCAGAAATTAAAAATTTTAATCATTCAAATTTATTTATGTTTAACTAAATTAGCCAATGAATAATTTTTAAAAAAATATACTTAAGTATATATGATAAAACTAAAACATTATAATGTGAATAGTCATATTAATTATGATCTCCTCTCAGTTTAAATAGTCTAATTTAAAACAATGGTAAATCAACTATACATCCAATGGTAGTAATCTAGATTTTAATTAGTTAGAACTTATAAAATTTGATCGATTAAAATGTTGAACTTTTTTCTTTCCTTTGCTATGCTTAAAGTTTTTCAGTAAACCTTTATACGGGTATTTTTTATATTTTTTTTTGCCGAATTACTCATACTTTGTAAGCGTGTATTTATGCATTCTATTTCAATATTCATGTTTAAGTCTCGAGTGAAGTAATGATTTTTGTTTCCATTGTATCGTTTTGTGTAATCTAGTTTCGATCTACATAGAGTAGTTAACTATTTGTGTAGAACTAATGTTTCTGCTTATTTCAAATAAGATATCCATACCAAGAACCGTGTCGTACTAAGTATCAGAAATCATTCTATTATACTTCCAATGAAATAGATTCAGATATTAACACACAAATGTTCTATTCTGAAAACCACATAATCAGGCTCCGATCGCAAATGTCAAATAGACCAGATTGAAATTCTACTAAGATTAAATCGAAAGAGCTGTGGTTGAATGAATTGGTTGATATCAAGCAGTACGCTGTAAATCGGAAACACTAGTGGATTTGATTCTTAGAATTTTCTCTGTAATTCAAATATTTTCACATGCTCTAGAAGTGCTTTTGTGGGTTGCCGATTAAGTGTTTGAATCAGTCAACAAAAAAATAGAAAAAATTGTGTAAAAACTGCGTCGTTAAATAAAACAGCCACATATACCTAATTATTTGCTAATGTTCTTTTCTAGAAAACGAAAACAACTACGCTTTTTCCTTTTGTTTCAGCTGTAAAATAAAAATAAAAAATCTTGCATAAGCCGTAATTTAAAACCCGACTAAAAAATAAATTATTGCATTGAATACACGCGATCAAACAAACACTGTAATATTATTTGGCGTTTGTTTTTTTTTATAGTGTAAGCGTTTGTCGTGCCTTTTTCGTTTTGTTTGGTATACTTGAGCTATCCGATAGCTGTCGGATAGCCCATTTAATTGCTTGCAATCAAATAGCTTGCGATACTCGTGTGTTTCGATCTGATATATTATTATT